GCAATAAAACTCAACTGTGACACCAGCAGGGCAGCCTTGTCCGAAATGTTTACTTCTGAAGGGTATTTAAACAAGCTTAGCCGTCTGTCAAGCATTCTAACGGCCTTGGCAGTTGACGGACCTTTAAGACTCGGAAGCGGCCAGAGCTCGAGAAAATCAGAGCAGTTTCTGCAGTGGTCGACGTGAAATGCAGTTCCGGCTCCTCGCCGAGCTATTTTCTCAACGAGCGGAACGTGCAAGGCACGGCTGGGTTAACGCAGCCGTTCTCGTCCACGCGAGAGGCATAAGGCGCGGCTACCCTACCCGCCGGTAACGGCCGATTGCAGATGTCCGTCGTTCGCCGAATGCGCCGAGCTCAAAATCGTTGGGTCAGGCTCCACAGTGTCCATCCCAGGCCCTGCGGCTCTCAATTAAAGCGGCTCTCTGGTGGAAATGAGTCGAACGCAAACTCAAAGCTGTCGCGTGTTTTTCCCTTCCTTGATGGTGGGGTGGGGGGTCGTTCTGCAAGGAAACGATAAGGGCGAATAACAACGCAAACGGAACAGTGTGGCCAGCCTGCTCAACATTCCCCTTTCACAACAAAATCAGGAAGTGACTCGGGGTGGTCTCAAACGTTGCGCAGCATTTCCCTGCATTTCACCCACTCCCCCCCCCACTCCCCACCGGCGTGAGCAAAGAAACATCGGTCATTAAAAGCAAATCCCGTGGAACAATCGAACTATAATAGTAATTTAGGAAAATATAAAAAAGATGGTGTTGGGAGAATCCAACACAAGGGTGCCCACTCATTGGGGCCGCATACGAAGCGGATTGTAACGACAGGTTCAAGGGCGGTGGGAACGGCGCACAAAGCGCACGTTTGAGAAACCTTCAACTGTGCCGGGCAGGGCTGCTTGGGCGAGAGTTGCACCGGTCAGCTGTGTCCATACATTCCCGAAGCGACCAGTAGCAACCCCTCCTCGCTCATGCACGCACACGCACGCACACATATGGAACACCATGCCCACAACAACACGGCTTATAAATAGCCAAACTTGTTTCGACAAGCCGGGCCTGCGGCGCCTGTTGCTGCAAGCGCCTGTTGCAGCGCGCCCCTGCCCCCTCCTTCAGCAAACACCCCGTTGTGAAACGCTTCGTTTGTACCGGGCCCTGACGACTCCCCTCCCCCCCCCTACACGTGGCCACGTGTTTTTTCCTTAAGTCCTTTTAAAAATACAACTCGACCGTGACGCGACCCGCACAGGTGCGGCGCGGTCCACCTCACCGCCGCGGCCAGCGCACAACGGTTCCAGGATCTGCCTCGTTCCTATCCGCGGCTTCCGGCTGTCGCAGCCCACGATGGGCGAGCCCGATGCGAACATTCTTGCACAGTGGGAACCGAATGCGGCTCTCACCAGGTGAGCGGGGGGCTCACCTGGTGAGCGGGGGGATGAGCAGGTGAGCGGGGCTCACCAGGTGAACGGGAGGGCTCACCAGGTGAGCAGAAGGATTACAGCGTTACGTAGGAGTAAGTAGATGCAGCGCACAGGTGGAATCTCAATACATGCTCATTCTGTGTACACCACCACCAGCACCCGCTCCTCCGTTCTTAAAATAATTTGACACCATGTAGTCACCCCACTTTCAAATAGTAAGATAAAAACAAATGTAAAAAGTTACCAAACTTTGTCTTCTGTTTATATCGCTAGTTCGCCGTTTTTAAAGCCAGATTTAAATGAGGCACAGCGTTGGCCAATATCGTGGAACATGACGTCACAATGTCACATCTTTGTGTACCAATCTCAAGTCACTCGCGCAGACTTTATTTCAGCAAGCGAGGCCCCATTGAGCAAAGCAGCTCTCTTAGCGCTCCAACGGCGACAACCTCGGCCCAAGACCATCGGGCAGTGGCGGCAGTCACAGGCCATTGCAGCGTGTTGGCAATGTGCAAACGAACGAGCGTTAAAAGTCAAATTATTTACGCAAAACTCACGCCAGAACTTACTGTAAACAGCATAAACGAGAAGAAACTCCCTTTCGGTGCACGCGTGCCGACAGCCGCCAACTAAACAAAATGTTCACCGCGTTTGCCGGATCGGTTTTGCAAATCGTTTCCGACCCTCGAGTTTGGTTTCGTCAAAATAGGTTTGCGAAGGAGGCACGGGGGACACGGAGTCTGCAGCGAGCGAACGCGCCAAGACAAACGCGCAAAAACGCTCGGGCGAGCTCGCGATCTCGGGGCGGCGCAACCACCAACCGGGCGTGCGGCGCTCCCCTCGCTCGCAGTCGTCACCACCGTCCGTGGCGGAAGGGCTTCCCCGGTCTCACGCCGCCCACACGGGGAGACTCCCTACGTAACCGCTTGCTTCCGAGCCCTGCCAGCCAATCGCACGCTCGCCGTCGCTCACCTCGCTCGCCCGGCCTGCAAGCCTCACCCACGTCACTGACACACTGCTGAGTAAGGGGTCCTTCGCGCGTGGGCGATCCGACTGTGTGCGAGTATGAACTTTTTTCGTACCGTACGTAGCCAAGCGTGCTAATTGGAGGGCCGTGGCGCTTGTTAGCGAGTTATTGACGATGAAAAATAATATTTACACCCATGCACATTTTTTTAACGCTTTTTTTGCATTCTGACCACAAGTATTGTGGTTAATGCAGACATGATTCCTTGTAAAAGGTTTCAGTTTGGTGTCTTAACATCTTAACACAGCTGTTTTGTTGCCAGAGAAAAGGGGAAACCCTATTCTCAAATATAGGATCTCTTGCACGATTTCAATGCACGTTGAAAAAAGACCTCTCCCTCTAGCTCTCCATCTTGTCTCTTTAGTCTTTTCTCCGATTACTTTGATCGTTTCCTCCTTTATTACGCCCGGCGCTCCGTGCTCCACTGTGTAAGGGTGCCTTATTCATCTAATTATCACGCAATTCGGTTAACGGTGGGTTTTATTCGGCAAACCGTGGGTTTTATTGCCAACGCTGTTGCATGCCCGGCACGATAGCCCCCCCCCCCGGCGAGCCTCGCAGCCTCCCAACCCCCCCAACGGGGGCCCCCCGCGTTCCTCTCCACAAAAACAAGCCATCGCATTTATTTGGGCAATGGGTTGCGCGTGTGCGAGCCGTTGAGCGTGCAGCAGTACACGCGTGCGCGGTGCCCGGTGGACACACACTGCTGGTGCACGCTCCTCGCGCTCTGCTGGCCTGGCGTGCGCGTGGTGCATGCTGCGGCGAACGTTACTGGACATGCGTAACAAAACAAAAGAATGAGGAGCTTCGTGGCCGTTCAGATTCCTCCAGCGTTAAAGAGCAGTCGGCGTTTGCGCGCCCGGTTCGCACGGCGCGTCATGGGTGCACGCAATACGAGACTCGCTTCGTTGTGGTCACGCTGCACCGGCAGCTCTGTTTGTAGCACAGATAGAAGAGAGAAAAAAAAAAACACTCGTAGCGTAGAGTCTAGCTTCTCTGCAATGAAGTAGGGCAATCACCTGAAACGTCTGCCCATTTTTTTTTAATTCTCTGTGCGCACGCACATGTGCGCTCATCTACGAAAGTCAAATCCTATTATACGAATCGTACGACATTTATATTAACCGCCATGCACGCATTACGTGAGAACCCTATACGGGAAAAAAAAAAACACACGCGCAGCTTAGATAAATAAACTAAAAGGGACCAAGTGTGGCAGTGGAATGATATTATTGCCTTAGAATCCTTTCCGCCAAGCAAAAGCATCCCGGTGATTATGAACATCATACGAAGGTAAACTTTGCTGTGCGCTTACCTGCGTTTGTCCGAATTCACGTAGGACCGAGTCATTATCGAATTCTTCCCAAAAGCGCGACCGCGCCGCCAGCTGCCATTCAACAATCGTACGATCGCAGCCACAGTCGGAACGGTTGCTCACTCCGCGATGAATCGCAGGCGTGGGTAGGGCCCGGCGGAGGTGGCGTGCGAGCATATATATGCACGTTAGCACGTGCGTGTGGTGGGAAAGGGGTTAATGTTCCATCGCCGAGCCAAGTGGAGCCGCGCGGGCGGGCGGAGGGGCAGCTTCTCCGCTCGACGTTTCCTCGAAAGCAAAGGGAGGGGAGGCGCGCCGCTGACGTCACGCGGCGTAAGCGTAGACGCGCAAGCACGTGCGCGGCACGGGCCGCAGACGAGGACGGAGCGGTAGATCCTGGAGCGCAAGCGGGTTCTCCCCCCTCCCCCCCCCCACCGCTGTACTACCCCCCACGTTGGGGGGGGGGGGGGGGGGGGCATGGTTCATCCGCTCGCCGTTCCGCTCCAAGGCGAGGGCGGCACTCGAACAGTCGCCCTTGCACAACGCACCGTCAGCGTTTCGCGGCGCGCCGACGGAACAACACGGGGGGATGTTTGCGCGTTTTTTTGAGGAATTATTGTTTTCGGTGTTTCTTTCAGCGCTTATGTTGGGTAATTTTGCCGACGACTGCAAAACGGAGGAGCAGAAAATAAAAAAGTGTCAAGATTTTCCATAGGAGAGGCACCTTTATATACGCCAAGAAGGCAGTGGGGGGAGGGGGTTGCCACCTGTCCTGATTTTTCCAGAATCGTGCAGGTGGGTCTCCAGGGGAATCTGAAAATCTAAGTCTTGCCCTGACATTAAAAGCCGCCGTTTGTCAGTTGCATAATAATAACAATGACACTGCAACCACTCAACACAATGCCTTTAACATCCAGTTGTCCCTTCTGCCGGTATCGATATCCTTATTCCTCCGATGTCCCGTTGTCTTTATCTCAGTGGTGGTAATCCTACGCAGCACTTTGGTGGTCAAGGAGGTTGGGGAGGAGGGAAGGTCTCCGAGCACTGCCATGGCGATTCGTAACCACGCACGATTGCCATGGAATAATTGGCGGGGAGAAGTTGCCAGGAGACGCGGCAAGGCGGCGCCTGAAGACCTCGCAGAGCGACGCTACGGCGCGGCCAGCCCGATTATCCGGGCCTCACACGTCTCGTGCTGAAGTGAGAAAACCACAGGCTCCCCCCACCCCTCACCATCCCCCACCGCTTGAAGGTCCTTCAGCGTGCGTAGATGCGCATCGGTGAACGAGGCGCGTCTCCCGTACGTTTCGGCCAATGCCGAGCCTTGTGTTTCGCGATGGCGGGGAAGATCAATCATGGGAGGCATCGGTCACTGCCGGCCGTGCACGCTCCAGTCCGTGCGAGTCCAGCCCTGGCGTGCGGAGCGGCAGAATCACATCATTGACAAGTTACGTCATTTACGGTCGTCACGGTAACGACCCGATCGGCACGGGCTGAGAAGCTTTGCAAGGACTTGCGACAAGCATTGAACTAAACATGCTTAAAATAAACTCTCATCGTTTCAATACACCGGGTGGCAATACGTAGCTTGAAAGTCAAGATGGACTGTTATATAAAATAATGTATTTTAATATTATATTTAGTCTCTCTACGTGCCATATCCTCGTATCATTAAGAAAACCAATGCAATATTTCACAATTCTTCGCTATCAACGCTGGCAGAACCGACAGCTTTGTCGTCTTCTGACTGCTAACGGAGAATTAAAAAAAAAAACGCTTTTGTCCGCGAATTGTGCAGCACGACGCTGTCGAGGCAAAGGCTCCCCCCCGCCCAACCCGAACCACCACCCCCCTACCACGTTTAACCGTGCGCGGCTGCATCGATTCCCCGCGTCCGCAGCTGCAGCCGCCCCACCGCAGCCCCTGCAGCAGAGCACAGCCGCCCTCCCCCGGCACGGGCAGCCATTTTGTTGCAGCTCTCAGTGACAGCTCAGCCACTGCAGCTGTTGCCACCATTTTCTCTTTTCCCTTTCAGCGGAATGACACGATTTGTCGGCCGGCCCATCTAATGTGAGCGAGCGCACCTTTCTCCTCCTCTCTCTCTCTGCCTGTTGACCTTCCCTCATTTCCCCTCCCTCCCACATACAGCTAGCCGCCGCCAGCGGCGTCCCCTGATCTCAGCGGCGGGCGTAGCCGTGCCCCTGCTCGCCGTCTCTCGGACTCGCGCCCGCACTGGACGAGCCGGGCTCGCGCTTACGACGCATGCACGGGTTGCTGCAGCAAGTACCGAGCACAGGGCCAACACCCCCCCAACCACCACCACCCCCCGCTGAGCTCCTAATCCCAGACTATTTTGGATAAAAACCCGCCGAAGCCGGCGGCGTATTCCAACGCCTGCGCCGTGCGTCGGGACGGTCGGACACAAAATCCGCACGTGTGTATATATATATGTCACGCGGGCGCCGTCGCGCCTTGCGGAATCACGCATCAAAACGCTCTCCCCCGTGTGCGCGTCGTTTGAAAGAGCGGTCCAGAAGCAGAGTGCTTTTCGCGTAAGAGGACTCGAGTTCGTGCGTGCGGTTGTAAGCGAGATACACTCCCCCCCCCCCCCCCCCCACAGCGCGCAGCACACTGGGAACAATGGGCTCTGGGTCGATAAAATTGCAAGGCTAAAAAGAGGGGCCACGATAAAATATGCATTGCAAGTAATACCCCACAAATAGCAGCCGGTTGATAAGTGTTATAAAGAAAACGTTTGTTCCCAAGCCACATGCCGCATTGTACGTTCGTGCACAATGCTCACGTCGTGCGAAAGTTGCCACCTCAGACAGAACAACACCAGGACAGATAATGGGAAGAGGATGAGAGGAGCGCTGCACGTGGATGCGTCATGGCGTATCATTATTACGTGACCGAAATAGAAACAAAAAGTGACTTATCATGTCAATGGAAGGCTTTAAAGAGATTGCACAGGGCAGTGGGGAAGCTACCTCAAAGAGAAAGGGCGATCCTGGGAAAACCAGAACAGGTGGCAACCCTACGCTGTTGCTGCCGTTTAATTCTGACCGGTGCGTAAGCACATTTAAGCGCTCTCATAGACATGGTAATGATGCCGCGTTGGCCGAGTGCACTCGGGTGGACTCGAGCGGGTTGGTGACCATCAGCTTACCCAGGCCCTCTCCATGCCTCCCTATCGTACAGCCATGCTCTGATCTATAAACACATTACACTCTGATCTAGCCAGTGCGCAAATTATTCAACGTGCTGTCGCCTATTATAACAACAAAAAATCCCTCCTTTTAAGGCAGTGTTGTTGACGAATACGTTAACTGTTCATTTTTATTCATCAACTACACCTTCAGTTGTGTAGCTTAGCGATTAGCCGTTCAGAATTTTAGGCCTTTGGGGCCTTTGCTCTGCAACCCGAGATGTAAACAAAGATCCTCTCTGCAAACATCAACGGCTGCCACCCGACAACCCTCGTGGTCACGGCGGAGCACGACCGTGTTGTTCACACGATCCCGCAGTGCCAACCTTGGGGTGGCGGGGAACGACGGCGCACGCACGGTGCCAGTTCGGCCACGTGCCACGTCCACGGCAAATAAAAACACCACACAGCGCCGACGGTGCCCGACGGCTCCACCAAGAGAACGGCCGAACCTCGAGATACGTCCGTGCGATCTTACCGATGATGGTATTAGAAGCATGGACGACAGATGCGTGGATGGAATTAATAATCAAATAGAATCCTGATTTTATGAATGGCTTTCATAACGGACGGTGAAATGTTGTACGGAAAGGAAATTAAGGCCCAACACGTGCACACGGACCAAGCGAGAGCCACGGCACAAGGGGCTGCCTTGCGTGCGTGCGGCAAAACCCGCGCAAGGCAGGGCCAACGCGACGGCCCGAACCTGCAGTTGTGATGCACGACAGACGGTGACGCGCGCCGCTGCAGAGGCCCGTATCTGCTAAGCAGGCTTTAAGCCGCGCTGCAATGACGGCGACGTCACTGCTGCTGCCTTCTGCAAAATGACAAAGCTGTTGCCATACTCGGTGCAAACGCTCGCGCTAAAATCAAACGGCGAGGGTGGAGGGAGGGGGCAGGACGCGTTGCGAGGAGGGATAATAATGGCTGACGGATGGAACCGGAGAGAGGAAAGGCAGCCGAGGAAGGGAATGCGATCGAGAGGAGGACCCGCCACGGAGAGGGAGCGGGTGATATCGGCTCGCGGAGCAGGAGCGAGATGGAAAACGTCCTAGAAATACGGCGACGGCTATGGAAGGAATTCAAGTAGCAGTCAATGGTTTACGATTAATATCATAATTGCTAATGTGCCTAGTCCCATGAAGTCATCACGAATAACCACATTTGTCCAGGCCCTTCCCATGCTTCCCATCAGAGAGAATTGCTCTGATCTATCAAGTGCGCAAATGATTCAATGTGCCGTCGCCTATTCTAAAAAAAAAAATCCTTTAATAAAACGCGACAAAAACGAGCACAAAGCAATAAAACGCAGGAGGCTTCTCTACAAAACGGGACTAAGATTTGTTCATGAAGGTACGAACTGCTGTGCGCGGACGCGAGTGGCCAGGTTGGGCAGAGAACTTGTGCCCCCCCCCCCCCCCAGCGCTGGGGGGGGGGGGTGGGCACGCTGCCCTGCACCCAGGAGGAATGCGGAACCCATGCCGGCTTTAAAACCCACAACCGGCAAGCTTTCCTTGTTGTTATTTCAGCAGTCACACGCACGATACGCACAAACGCAGAGAGAGAGACCCAGAGCAATCACGAACCAAGACAGGAGTCGAACTTGAGTGTTTTGCGTTGAATCACAGCTAGGCCTCGGCAAGGTAAAAACAACGAGCCTACTTTTACCCTACCTTTTACCTTACCACAATACAATCACTCTACCCTACCTTTTACCCTTCAGCAGGTAAGGTAAAAGGTCAAAAGCAACGAGCCTACCTTTACCCTACCTTTTACCCTTACCCCATACAAATAACCCGATTAGAGGGCAATTACTGGTCTACCACACATGAAAAAGGTTTATAACAGGTAAATGCTAGGTAGAGCGCTTTATTCATATAAAATACTCTCGATTATTACAATTTTACACGATTTCTTTAAACTCACTCTGTTTTTGTTGCCGTTGTTGTCTCCTCAAATCTTGTAACTCAATTTTAACCCACTTCCCAATGTGGTTTCGACTGCAAACTTGGTATACTTATGTCTTACTGATGACAATACTACATTCTATCATTAAAAATACAATTATTTTTAAACAGATTTTTCATGTTATGTTTCGGCTTGGGTCTAATTGTCCACTGTCAACTGACCTTGGCTGTAATTGGCCACGGTCCCTTATGTTGTGGCAAGCTTCGGGGCCACTACCTGGAGTCGTGGGAGTTCTGCTATTACTTGTACGGTACATTTCATTAAAGCGTGTTTTTAAAAAAGTAAAAAAAAAATATTACTTATTAAATGGAGGCCACGAACTGCGCCACGGAGCTTTTAGCGGTAAACAAGGCACCGTATTTACCGGGTAATGCTTAGCGCTACCTTTACCCTCCCGGGTAATTCTTCCGAGCTACCTTTACCCTACCCTTTACCTTTTACCCCTTGGCGTGTCGACACCGTTACCCTTTACCTTCACCCTTTAACCCGGTAAAAAAGGTAAATTACCTTACCTTGCCGAGGCCTAATCGCAGCAGCCTGACGTGAAATGAAATGCTTCGCTTTAAAAATGGAGGGATCCACTTTTTATTTATTGCTAACGCTTCACAGCGGGTAAACGCCGCGAGATGAAATGCGCCGTATGCACAGGTGCCCTGCAGGGATTGGCCAAACGAGCAGACGCAGATGAAACCGCTCCATCAGTAATGGTGCCGCAGCAGAGGAAGGAAAAAAACATCATCACACACAACACGGTGATCACAACAAAAGCGACCGAAATATAAAAACCGCCGCTGCTGCTGCAAATATCGTACAAAGCCCCCCCGGGTCCGGGCGTTCAGCACTTCTTGCCTTACCCTGAACGCGCTGGCGCTAACCGCGCGGACGGCGACAGTGCGCGGCGATCCGCTCCGCACCACGCAGCGGAGTCACGCGAGCGCTGCGCTGAGCATGAGGAGCGAAAGGGCAAACGAGCGAGCGAGCGTTGCCTTCCTCCTCCTAGCGACGCAAAACGTCTCCTCCACCCGGCATCCCACCCCGACGTCGCCACCTCCGTCTTCATCGTTCGCTCGGCGACCACGGCTCGACTGCGAGAGTGCGGCGGGGTGACATGGCCCGAGCGGTGATGGGACGCGGACGGCAGAGGAGGGGCCAGCGCGGAGCCACGTGGACGCCGGCACGTGGTGGCGTCGCGCGCCGCCGCTGCCCCGGCCGGAGCTAGCCGTGTGAACGAGCGC